TAGATCCAGGCGTTAAAATGTTTAACCGTCTAGGTTATGCACGAGTATGTGTAGAGATAGACTTCTTGGCCCCTCTTCAGCGCATGATCATTATGCAGAATGGGGATGAGAAGATCTATCAAATAGTTATATACGAGAGACTACCTCATTTTTGTACTTACTGCACAGTGTTTGGACACACCATCCACACTTGTCGACATAAGACCAACCCATCATCTTCAGAGTCTACCGTGATTTATTTATCACCCATGTCATATGATGATTATATAACTGAGGCAAAGAAGACTACACCTAACCGCCCTCCCATACAAAGCTCGCGTCTGAGGAAGATAGGGCATCCAAGGTAATCAAAGGGTAGATGACCACACGAGAACCCTGTTAAGTTCTGTATGCGTCGTATGGTGCTAATGGTGGCAGAAGATGCCACCATAAAGTTACTCTTCGAGGCATTGACGAGTTGACCTGCAGCCTACTCATAGCACGCGAGCTCTGTATGGGAGGGCGGCTAGGTGTAATCTTCCCTACCTCAATGATATAATCATCATATGATATGGGTGATAAATAAATCATGGTAGACTCTAAAGATGATGGGGTGGTCTTATATCGACAAGTGTGGATGGTATGTCCAAACATTGTGTAGTGGGTACAAAAATGAGGTAGTCTCTCGTATATAATTGCTTGATAGATCTTCTCATCCTCATTCTGCACAATGATCATGTGTTGAAGGGGGGCCAAGAGGTCTATCTCTACACATACTCGTGCATAACTTAGGCGGTTAAACATTTTAACGCTTGGATCTAGGTGTATAAATGTACCGACTGCATTCGCCAAAGACTCAAGTGCCTTAGGTGTGAATAAATGTGCTGGTAGACTAGGAAAACCTATCCAAACTGGAATGAAGTGCAGTTGTTTCCCACGGGAAATATCGTCTGTCTGTGGGGTCCATCTATATGTATGTATAATGGTATCCTAAATCTTCCATGTGGTCCAACTCCAGGCTTTCCAATAGTCAGCTTGGAGCTCAAAGCGGATAAAGACGCTCCGATAATCACAGGTGCCGATGACTACCTTACCCTAAAAATGTCCAAGGGCCAAATAGATCCTATAAATATCATCTAGGTGGGGACGTTTCGTAGAGAAGTGCCCTATCAATGAAAATTAGAAGGCCTCCGCTAATTGGGAGATCTCCTTCGAGGAAAATGAGACTATTTTCATTCTCCCTTCATGAGTGTAACCTCGTGATGGTATTTCGTCATCATAAGTGGGGTGTAGCTCGCGTCTCAGTGTATTTGCCACTGTAGGAGTGGGCTGTTGTCCTACTAGTCGCTGGGCCCAAGACTTGGCTTGGGCCTGGGTGGGCTAGGTCAGCTTGGCGTGGGCCTGAGCAGCTCTGGTTTCAGCAGTTTGGGCCGGTAGGTCTGGGGCTTGGGTGGGTTGGGCTTGGGTGTGCTGGGCCAGCTTGGTCTGGGCCTGAGCAGCCTGGGCCTATGCGGCCTGGACCTGAAGGGGCTGGGCCTAAGTGGCCTGGACCTGAGCGGTCTGGGCCTGAGCAGCCTGGGCCAGTGGGTCCTAGGTTGATGGGGCCTAGGCCGGTGAGGCTTGGGCTGGCGTGATCTAGGCCGATTTAGTCTAGGCCGGTGCTTAGGTCCTATGAGCCTTGGCCTTCGGACCCTTGGGCTGCACAGTCTTGGCCGACATGATCGTGCTCTGCGCAACCTCGACCAACTGGGCCTGAGATGGAGCCGCCACGCCCAACGTGGCTTTGGCTACTGTGGCCTTCTCCGGCTCAGCCCTGGTCTGGGCCAACACGCCGTGAGCCGGCGCGGTCTAGCCTCCGGTTGTCTGGGCTGCTGCGCCCGCCCTTTCTGACGCAGATGACGTCATGGGCGTCGCGCACAAGAGAATGGCGCTCGCAAAAAGTTGCGGCACCGAATTCGTTCCGTTGATTTCAATTTCAACGGATGGATTTAAGCTCCTGTTGGTGCCCTGCGTGTCAGCTCTCGCTGACGCAGGCACAGACACCGTAACCGAGGAAACAACATCAGCCACTTTCGATGCCTTTTTCTCTAGTAAATCCAATCCATTGATCTGTAGATCAACGGTTGAAATAGCAATGCTGGCTGGCATCGCCGCGATCTTTGGGACAGGGGGATCTCCAGTCGACAGAAAATCCTGACTGTCCGTCAATCGACCATTCAAGGGATGGGTACTTTGCAGCCATTGTGTGACGTGTCTCATGATCTCTGGTGCGTGCATCTACTGGCTTGCAAAACAAGAGAGATTTTGCCCTTTTGATATCTCCCATAACATATATGCTATGGAAATACGTAGGTAGGGGCTGCCCCTAGAGCTTTGAAGCAAATCAAAGACTCTCCTAAATATCTCTAGGGGTGTAAGAGATGGAGAAGGATGAAATACTAGGGACTAATTTAGTAAGAGTTGATTCCAACATTCTATAACAACAACACTATGAAAAAATAAGTGGCCCATAGTTTTACTACTCGGAGTGATGGGACAACAATGACATTTGGAATAGATGTTATGTCCTATGATGGACATACGATCATCTGTAGGAAGTCCGCGGTGCATCAATTTCCACATAAAGAAAGAGACTCGAGGTACGATAGTAGAGTGCCAAATGAGATCTCCCCAAAACTATTTTGCGGAACGATTTTTAAAGTAATTCCAAGAAGAATTACAAGAAAAATGCCCATCTAGAGTAAGAGTCTAGATGGAATGATTATCACTAGGGCTCAACTCTATCAACGAGATCTCTAGTAGTAAATCTAATGAGAGTTCGTGCCTCTCAAGCAATACATTAGTATCTCCATCGAGAAGCTGAGCCACCGTGAGACAAGCCAGGATGACATAAAAGAGGTGAAGGAGGCCAAGGGAGTATCCGCAAGCTAAGTGTCATACCAAGCATTGATAGTGCCTCGTCCTACTCGTCATCGGATTAAAGGCCTCATCTGCAACCAATGTCTTTGCCAATCTGCCCATCACTTTTCTTCTTTTATGTCGGTCAGTTGGCTAGCCCAATCGCCATATTTGTCTAGCACAAAGGTCCCTAGGGGTGATCTCGTCGTTCTCATCTGCCATACGAGTTTATTCTGAAGTATATCGAGAATATCTTCAGAGCGTCTAATCCCTAGGCCACCCTCGTTCATCGGTCGGCATACTTTCTCCTAAGAAACTCGGCGTTGACAATGAGGCCCGTCGAGTTGACCACCTCATAAGAAGGAGGTACAAATCCACCTCACAGATCATAAGACGGTGTCCGGTACCCCATGTACCGCAAGTAGGTGCAAGGGCATACTCATGAGGACAAGACGTATCAATTGGATGCGACCACTTGAGGATAGAAGCTGAAGCTTTCATCCTTCAAGTTTCTTCCTCAACTTGCACAAAAAAGAATCAAAGTAATGAACCCGAGTGCGTCCGAGGATGATGGGGCATCCAAGGTAATCAAAGGGTAGATGACCACACGAGAACCCTATTAAGTTCTGTATGCGTTGTATGGTGCTAATGGTGGCAGAAGATGACACCATAAAGCTACTCTTCAAGACATTGACGAGTTGACCTGTGGCTTGCACGTAGCTCGAGATGATAGTCATGAGTCCCCTAATGGATGCTTCACACCCATTAAGGAAAAGTATCGCATCATCAGTAAACAAAGAATGCGATATGATCGGACAACCCCTCTTCGAATGATGTGGTTGGATAAGCCCACATGTCACTGCTCGGGAGAGGGTTTGACTAAGGACTTCTTCAACCAATATGAAGAGAGTGGGTGATAGGGGATCACCTTGCCGTAACCCTCTCATGGCCGTGAAGAAAGGTGTGGAAGTGATATTCACTAATAAGGAGAAATGGTTCTCCCTAATGCATGCATCGACTAAGTCAATGAACTCGTCGGTGAATCCGAAGCGTCGAAGCACTTCGGTAAGGAGATTCTACTCGATCCTATCAAAAGCCTTTTCCATGTCTAGTTTGATGATGACATTGGAACCACGGATGTCCTGGTCAAGGGATTGTGCTAGTTCGTGAACTAGCATGATGTTATCATAAATGTGTCGTCCCTTAACAAATCCGCACTGCTTTAGAGATATGAGCCTATCAAGAAAAACACTCAGTCCTGCTGTAATGATCTTGGATACAACTTTATAGCACACATTACAAAGGTTGATGGGTCAAAAATCTCTAAAAGAAGTTGGGTTGACCACCTTTGGTATGAGTGCAATAAAGGTGGCTTTCTAACTTCGTGGAAAGACTTTGCGGCCGAAGAATTCTTTAATGGCATGAACTAAATCTGTTCTGACGATGTCCAAACATGTTGAATAGAAATCCACTAGAAAACTATTAGGCCTAGGTGTTCGGTTTCTACTCATTAAGAAGATCACATCTTTGATCTCTTCCCTAGTAGGTATGGTCATAATGGATGAGATCTCCTGGTGGGTAACTAAGGATGGAATCGATGAGAGTATATCCTCAGAGATCTCAATCGGCTTGAAAGCAAGAAGGGTACGAAAGTATGGAATTCCTACCCCCTGCATACGAGATGTGTCTTGATCATACATCTCTAGAAGAGATGTATAATTAGATCGAGATCAATGTGCGATCGAGGCATGAAAGAAAGGTGTGTTCCTATCACCCTCGCGTAGTGACTAAATGCGTGATTTTTGGAGATACTATATCTCTTGTCGTCACGCAGCCTCCTCTAGTTGCTCACTCACCCGAACTCGTCTCGCCCAAGTGTCATCAGTCCATCGAGCTTGCAGTTGTCTCTCGACCCCAGCTAGCTCTTTCTTCAACTCGTCTACCTAGGTGTGGATATTTCCGTATACATGCCGGTTCCACCATTTAAGGTGAAGTTTGAGATTCCTCAATTTGTAATTGAGGTTCTACATAGGAGAGTTTGAGATATCTCTATGCCAATGACTTCGCACGAAGTTTTGGAAGCCTTTGTGCCGAGTCTACATATTCTGAAACCTAAAAGGGGGTCAAAGGGTACTAGCTCTTGAGTGAGGGAGAATAAGGATCGGCGTGTGATCTAACCTATATCGAGGTAGGAGTGTGACTAATATGGGACATTGTACTATTGCAATGTTATTTGTGAAGTAACGATCGATGCGCTCATATATCCTTGCGCCTCTTTGTCTTTTGTTGCACCACGTCCAGACCTCGCCAAAAGTAGAAGGCTCAATGAGGGCCGCATGAAAAATAAAATCATTGAACGTCTCCATGTGATGGGCCCGAGGGACCCGTCCCCCTTGACGTTCAGTGACTCTACGTACGCAACTGAAATCTCCAGCTATGAACCACGAAGAAGCAACTAGTATAGGATAATCTCGCATACATCATACTAGATCTTCCTAAAGAGTCTCACGATCTTGGTGTCTATGTGAAACATAAATGACCGAGAATATAAGCTCTTGGCCAGAGCCTAGTACCCTCATCGTAACATGTTGTGGCCCCTCAACTAATAGTTGTAGAGAATATGATCTCTTCTAAAATAATCAGATGTGGTTCGTAGGGTTAGAATGAAACTGATCCATGCCTAGGCGTCTAAGTAATGTGTGAATGTGATATGATGGTATCATAGGTTCAATAAGCCCGACGAGGCCTAGTCGGTGCTTATTGATGAGTTCAATAATGTGGGACTGTGTTTTGAGGTTGCTCAACCCTTGACAGTTCTAAATAAGGCTAGGTATCATGAGTGATGGTGGCTATTGTCACGAGCCTTAGATCTCGTGATATATGGAGAGCGTCGTCATGAAGCCCTGTCTACCATCTTTGTCTGGTATCCTCTCTAAAGGTCAATGCCCTCAATGGAGAGATCCAATGAGGACTCAAATCCAGAGTCCTCAACACTCGATGTAGAGCGCCCACTAGTGTCCTCCACTGAGGATGAAAGAGAGATTACTTGACGATTCGTCGAGCATTCTCCCCTACTAGGGCTCTCACGCTCCCTCGAGCTCTCTAAGGGTGTGCTCAATGGTGGATCTGGAGGTTGGGGTGGTAGGGAGGGAGAAAGAGAAAGAGAAGGAGGGTCTGATAGGGATCTACCTGGTGGGCTCCTATCGGGGACCCTATCAGGTGATGGAGGGGGGTGGGAGGGTGGGTGAGGTGTGGTGTGGGAGGGGGCAGACCTAGGTGATAGGGAGCTAATAGGTAATGGAAGATGTGAGAGTGTAGAGGGTCTAACGGATGAAGGGGAGCTAGTTGGTGATAGAGAGGTAGTAAGAGCTAAAGGTCTAATGGATGGAGAGGAGCTGGTTAAAGGTGAAGTAGTAGTAGGCCCCCCTGTTTAGGGGAGTGTCGTCGAACTCATGGGCTGATATTATTCCCTATGATGGGAACATTATCAGCCTCCTCGATCAAGGTGCCTAAAGCCTCAAAAACATTCGATGTCTCGACTGTCTTCCCCTTACCTGTTGGTATGGGGGGAGTTGGGCATACTACCATCTTCCTTCCTTTTTGGGTGGATGTGAATGCTCGAGAGATAAGATGTGACACCGATGTAGGTGGGGTTGTCCTCCTAGGACCGGCTGAAGGGACACCAGTCTAGACCGACAGTGGTCGAGAGGGAGCACACGAGCTCTATATGGGAGGGCGGCTAGGTGTAGTCTTTCCTGCCTCAGTGATATAATCATCATATGACATGGGTGATAAATAAATCACGGTATACTCTGAAGATGATGGGATGGTCTTATGTTAACAAGTGTGGATGGTGTGTCCAAACACTGTGTAGTGGGTACAAAAATAAGGTAGTCTCTTGTATATAACTGTTTGATAGATCTTCTCATCCCCATTCTGCACAATGATTATGTGCTGAAGGGGGGCCAAGAGGTCTATCTCTACACATACTCGTGCATAACTTGGGCGGTTAAATATTTTAATACCTGGATCTAAGCGTATAAATGTACTGACTGCATTTGCCAAAGACTCAAGTGCATTAGACGTGAATAAATATACTAGTAGACTAGGAGAACCTATCTAAACTGGAATAGAGTGTGGTTGTTTCCCTTAGAAAATATCATCTGTTTGTGGGGTCCATCTATATGTATGTATAATGGTATCCTGAATCTCCCATGTGGTCCTACTCTAGGCTTTTCGATAGTCAGCCTCGAGCTCAAAACGGATAAAGACGCTCCGATAATCACAGGCACCGATGACTACCTTACCCTAAAAATCTCCAGGGGTCAAATAGATCCTATAAATATCATCTAGGTGGGGACGTTTCGTAGAGAAGTGCCCTATCAATGAAAATTAGAAGGCCTCCACCAATTGGGAGACCTCCTTCGAGGAAAATGAAACTAGTTTCATTCTCCCTTCATCAATGTAACCCCGTGACGGTATTCCGTCATCATAAGTGGGGTGTAGCTTGCATCTCGGTGTATTCGCCACTGTAGGAGTGGGCTGTTGTCCTACTAGTCGCTGGGCCCAAGACTTGGCTTGGGCCTGGGTGGGCTGGGTCAGCTTGGCGTGGGCTTGAGCAGCTCTGGTTTCAGCGGTTTGGGCCGGTAGGTCTGGGACTTGGGTGTGCTGGGCCAGCTCGGTCTGGGCCTGAGCGGCCTGGGCCGGTGGGTCTTGGGTCAGTGGGGCCTGGGCCAGTGAGGCCTGGGCCGGCGTGATCTGGGCCGGTTTAGTCTGGGCCGGTGCCTAGGTCCTAGGAGCCTTGGCCTTCGGACCCTTGGGCTGCGTGGTCTTGGTAGGCACGACCGTGCTCCGCGCAACCTCGGCCGGCTGGGCCTGAGACGGAGCCGCCACGGCCAGTGTGGCTTCGGCTACTGCGGCCTTCTCCGGCTCAGCCCTGGTCTGGGCCAGCACGCCGTAAGCCGGCGCGGTCTGGCCGCCAGTTGTCTGGGCTGCTGCGCCCGCCCTTTCTGACGCAGATGACGTCATGGGCGTCGCACACGAGAGAACGGCGCCCGCAAAAAGTTGCGGCACCGAATCCTTTCCGTTGATTTCAATTTCAACGGACGGATTTAAGCTCCCGTTGGTACCCTGCGTGTCAGCTCTCGCTGATGCAGGCACAGACACGTAACTGAGGAAACGGCGTCAGCTGCTTGCGGCGCCTTTTCCTCTCGTAAATCCAGTCCGTTGATTTGTAGATCAACGGTTGAAATAGCAGCGCCAGCTGGCATCGCCACAATCTCTAGGACCGGGGGATCTCCAGCTGACGGAAAATCCTGATCGTTCGTCAATCGACCGTTCAGGCGATCGACGGTTCGGATTTTTGGACCGTTGCTACGCCCAAAGCGTGCTTCTTCCCTCGGTTTCTCATCGGCCGGACACGGGTCCGCCGATGAAAACGATGATTTACTCATCAACAAAGCATCAAAATAAAATGATCAAGAAGGGAAAGCTGTAAATCAGGAAAATACGATTCTACTGATATAAGGATATAATATTTCAGCCAAGTAAATCAGTAGATATTACCCCGAGAATATAACGTTCTGAAAAATACCTCTCGAGGGAGAAATCGCGAGACCGAGAGCATCAATCAACCATTTTCCACGTTTGATGACTCGATGATGATGGTTTCCGATCTTACGAATCGAATGAAACAAGTTTCAGCACGATCTGAAGTCAGATGGGAGAGATCTCGCCGTTTGAATGTGACGTTGATAAGAGAGAAGCTCCCGCGAGGAGAGAGAAAAAAATTGAGCAAGTGAGATGTCACCCATTCCGCTATGCCGTTTAGGGTTTAGGTTTTTGGGTTTTAAGGTTTAAGGTTTTGTTTTGTTTTTGTTTTTGTTTTTTTTTTTTTTTGGGATAACTATCTTGGGTCGAACTTCTCGAGACGTCACCCATTCCGCTATGCCCGTCAGCATGTTGTTCGTGAGATGGATGCCATACCTCTTGGCATGGTGGCAGCGGTGACTCTCGGGACATTCGTAAGAGTTGGGTTCTTCTTGACATGGTGGCGAAAGGATTCGTAACACATGCTTGGCGGCACGATAATGTAGCGGTGCCTTTCAGCACATGCAGAGCAGGCGCCTCGTGATGCACACACATGTGCTCGGGGACTTCCTAGAGAGGTCACCCATCCGGGGACTACTCCCAGTCGAGCACGCTTAACTCTGGAGTTCTTATGAGATCTAGTGGCAACTCTCCCACTTAGGGGGGTTTTTAGGGTTATTTTTATTTTTTTATTTTTTTCTTTTTTTTAATTTTTTTTTTAAAATAATTGTCTTGGGCCAAATTTCTCGGGAGGTCACCCATCCCAGTACTTCACACATCCAAGCACTTTCGTGCCTCTGAGCACATTCTTCGGAGATAGATGCCACTAGCGCCTCTCGGCATGGTGGTGTAAGGCTGCCTCTTGGCAAGTTATTTTTCAGAGCTGGGTGCCTCTCGACTCGTTCTTCAGATTTGAGTGCTTGTCGGCACATTGTTGGTGAGATGGATGCCACATGTGCCTCTCGGCATGGTGGCAAGGGTGCCTCTTGGCACGTTCTTCAGAGTTGGGGGCGTCTTGGCATGGTGGCGAAGGAGTTCGTAACACGTGCCTAGTAGCACGATAATGCAGCAGTGCCTTTCAGTACATGTAGAGTAGGCGTCTCGCGACACACACGCACGTACCTGAGGACTTCCCATGGAGGGAACCCATCTGGGGACTGCTCCCACCCGAGCATGCTTAACTCTAGAGTTCTTATGGGATCAAGTGGCAACTCTCTCACTTAGGGGGGTTAGGGTTTTTTTTTCTGTTTTTTTTTTGGGATAACTGTCTTGGGCTGAACTTCTCGAGATGTCACCCATCCCGATACTTCACACACCCAAGCACTTTGGTGCCTATCAGCACATTCTTCGGAGATAGATGCTATTAGTGCCTCTCGACCTAGTGGCGTAGGGCTGCCTCTTGGTAGGTTGTTTTTCAGAGCTGGGTGCGTACCTGGGGACTTTCCAAGGAGAGGTCACCCATCCGGGGACTACTCCCACCCAAGCACACTTAACTTCAGAGCACTTCTCCAATGGTTTAAGGTTTAGGGTCTTTTTTTTTTTTTTTTTTGAGATAATTGTCTTGGGCCGAACTTCTCAAGAGGTCACCCATCATGGTACTTCACACACCCAACCACTTTGGTGCCTGATGTGACTTAGTCGTTGTATATTAAATCACGCAAATATAAAATTTATAAAACTAGAAAATACGACTTTTCAGATATTTAGAAGTATTTCTGAACAAATATATCAATTATAATTCAATTAAACTTCCAAAAACAGCGGTAATTTTCCACGTCGATCACAGGGATGTAATATAATATCTGGTAATTATTCAGAATATTTCTCAATGAATACGATTTTCTATGAATTTTATACTAGGAAATAAAAAGGAAATATATTTAAAATT